CTCTGTGGCAGGGAAAGCTGCCCACCCAGTTTGGGGACATTTTTTACCCTTGGCACCAGGGAGCCAGCTCCTGGGAGCCCTGAAATCCCAGAGACATGCCCAGCCCTGACCTGGTGACTGTGCCCAGGGGAAATGAGACAATGGCCCAGGAATGGCCCAGCCCTGGCACCGAGAGCGGTTCCATCTTTGTCTGAATGGCGGGTGTGCTCCAGGGAGGAATGGGCAGAGAAGGAGGTTGGGCAAGTGAGAACCTGTTTGTTGAGATGGTTGCCTCCTACCGAGAAGGACAGCATCTACCTCGTCAATGGCCTGGGTCAGGAGGGTGAGGTGCCTGGGACCCTAGCACAGGGCTCAGATGGGGACCAGTGGTCTGTCTCTATTCCGTTAGGACCAAAGACCACCATAGTGTTGACACAGAGCTTCCTGCCTTTTTTGGAAGCCCCAGTGTTCTCCTTTAATGGTCTGGTCATATTCATGACCACACAGCATTTGGGAGGGCAAGCTTTGTGCCACGGTACTGACTCAGTGGTGACTTGGGGCTTTGTTGAATGCCCCATTGTGGTTGGTGATGGGGACAGTGGTTCCGTGGATCTCAGAGGCAACATAGCACGTGTTGTATTGTGCAGTGGATTAAGTGTGGAAATCTTACCCTCTTCGATGCCGCCTGGAGGATTTCTGGGTTTATTTATGCTCTGCCAAATGCGAAATAAGCAAGAATGACAAGTAGCACATTACACGGAGTATGGCCTTTTGCTGTTACCCAGACCCCTCAGGCTGCACAGATGTGTTTTTGACTGTGACCTTTGCTCTGGAAGTACTCATGCCAGTGACACTGCAGTGGTGTTTAGATATCACCCTTGGGTTTGCAGAAAGGGCAGAAGTAAATAGAAAATGAACACTGAGCATCCCAGCCTGCCTTCTCATCCTTTGATTCATTGCATTTTTGTTAAACACCTTTGGGGTGAAGTGAACCATACTGATTAGACTCACAGGCTCTGGATACAGAACTACTGTGTATTTACACTCAGGCTCTGCCACCTAGAGCTGTGTGACTTTGGGCACGTCGCTTCACTTTTCTGTGCCTCAGTTTCATCGTCCATAAAATTGGGTTAATGTCACACACCCCTCTTTCTGGGGTTATTTTGAGGATTGAGGTACTCTGTGAAAAGCTCCGTATTTTACTGATTAGTTTGCTAGGTTCTAGAGATAAATGTGAGCCCTGCCCTTGTGGAACTTATAGTCTGATTGGGGAGACAGATGTTCATTGAATAATCATACAAATATAAAACTACCTGTGTGGGACCTGACCTTGGATGAGACATCAGAGAAAGCTTCCCTGAACAAGTGCGGCTTGAGCTCAGGCCTGACAGATGTCTGCATTTACCCGGTGAAATGGAGCGGGAGGGCATTCTAGTCTGGCCAGAGGAGCTGGTGTAAAATCCTTGGGCATGTCCAAAATGCTTTGGACATCTGAAAGACAGAAAGGAGGCCGGTGTGATAGAGTCCCAGGGAGCAAATAGCGGACCAGGACCAAATGACCCTGTGTGCAGAACTTTGCCTGTGGGTGAGTTTAGGTTTTTACCTAATTTAAAAACAAGGGGAAGTTACTGCAGGGCTTTAAGCAGAGGAAGGACATAATCCAATCACTTTTTGCAAATAACACTGGCTGCAGGGCGGGGGGGGGGGGGAACATCTGGGAGCCTATCCCCATGGAAGCCATTGGGAGACCCACGCCCAAACTGTCACCCAAGCTTCCTTGATGGGTGATTAAGGATTGCCTACATATGCAAATTACAAGTATTCAGGACAAACCCCAGACCTGAAGGATCACAATGGGGTTGGGCTGGAGACCTTTTCAGGCGACATTGGGAAATGTTGCTATAGGTTCTGTAGAAATGAAGAGAACCTAACTCCACTTTTATCGTATCGTATTTATTTTTCGAACCCTGCTTTAAAAGCAATTTTTAAAGAGTAAGCTCTTGAAGAGCTAAGACTGAGACCAGTTTGACTGCCCATTGTGTATTTTGCCCATGACTTAATATTTTGTTGAGGATGATAAAACTAGGACATAAACCAAGTCAAACTGGTTAACGATGACTTTTCATCATTTACATTCATGGCCTGGGTCTGTGTTTTGTGAGTGCAGGAGAGGTGCCTGGGTAGCACCCTCCCATCTCTTTGATTTAATCTCGTATTGACTTGGGCTGCAGGTCTCTGAGTTTTACCCTTGAGGTGTCCTTGAAAATTCATGACAGAATTTGAATGGGTGAAAATACAGACTTCCGTGTTGACTAGTATACCAACGTGTCATGGGAGATGGAAGGTGAGGTCAGGTTCTAGAGTCAGAACTGGTTTAGGAGGCCAGCTCTTCCACTGGCTGCCTGTGTGACCCTAGGCAGGCCGTGGACCATCATTGTTTCTCATTGTTGTCTTCTTGGTAAAGTTTCTTGGGTTAAATAAAAAGGATAAGTTCTGTTAGATACCCAGTGCACCGTAGATGCTCAAGAAATGGACAGCCATCCTCCCTCCTCTCCCCTGTACATATTTATTTCCTTACCACTCTGAGTCCAATGTGGTTTGTAGAAAGAACATGGACCCTAGTGGGCAGACCTGTGTGATACTGACAGCTTTGTGTAGATGAGAGTTTTCCAGCATCTGTCCATTCATCCGTCCACCTGTCCAACTAGCCACCATGACTGAGCACCTACCAGGGGATAGACTTGAGAAGTGGGAGCCGAGTAGAGCTGTACCCTCTCACTGAACCCAACTCTCAAGAAGCAGGAATAAATCTGTCTTGAAAAAACAAAAGAGGCAGCAGTTGACAATCCAGTCCCTATGTTTTTGCTTTCCACAATGCCCATGAAAGTATGTCCAAAGCCAGTTTCCTCCTGGAGAAAGGGTACCGAGGCAGTGTTGCTATCTGGCTGGGTCACCACAGGCCCCTACAGCTGGTTGCTGTGTCCTACTGGGTGGAGAAGGTGTCCGTGCTGGATTTGGGGGTAGAATAACACTCACTCAGGCCTAGTGTATAGACTGAGAATGGAGTCCAGTCTCTGAGGGATCAGGTGTGTAGTGTGGAGCCAACTGGGAGAACTTACTTCTCAAGGCAGAAGATTACTGAGGCTTGGTTAGCTTGTATCAGGGTCCTTTTGGGAAAGAAAGAATCACAGAGCCTTGAATGATATCTCATATCTTCCCTCATTCTTGCAAGAGGGACCTTCCGGGGTTCTGTTCCATGTCTAAGTCTCCAACGCTGAAGTGTGTAGGAGGCCAGCTATGACCTGCAGGGGCCCTGTTTCTGAGCTGTGGCAGTTATATTTGTCCCTTTGTCTAGGGCTGGCTTTTACCCCTTAAAGTCTTGGAGATAAGCACTTAAGAAGCTAGATTCAACTCTGGCAAATCATTGTGACCAAGGATCAGATGAGGCTCCAAGGATATCAAATATCTTCTCTTCTGGGAAATTCTGCTCATGTGGCCCTTTCTCAAGGCTCTTAGCCGTGGAGGGCTGTGCCAGGCCCAGTGGAGGAGGCCCTGGCCTGAGAGGCCAAGAGATGTGTTTTCTCATCCCAACTCTGCTAGAAGTCCTGTGGCCCTGAATGAATCACTTACCTTCCAGAACTTAACCTCACTCAGCCGCCACTTGGCCCTTTAATAATCAGGTTGTACTAGAGGATGACAAAGGAACTTTCAAACAATACTATTGCGTCATTTCAATCCACAAATATCACCATTTGTATTATCTTTTGTGTCTCTGCTTTAAACTCCCTGCCCAATTAGATTATAAAGCTCTTTGAAGGTGTGAACCCTGCCACATACCTTGGTAAAATATCTAGCAGAGTACTTTTTCACATAGTGGATGCTTTAAAGATCTGTTTGATTTCTTGATTATATATTGGCATACTTGGAAGACCCCTACTCTGAGCCTATTGATGATGACTTTTGCAACAATGCCGGAACCGAGAACCACCATCCCAAGCGGTTGTAACTGACAGGCTGGAAAACCAATCAAGGTGGTCAGCAGATCAGAAGCCAGTGAATGGTGTTATAGTGTGGCCTGAAAGCATCTTGCTTTCTACCTGCAGTTCCTTTCAAGTACACTAATGGACAAGTGGGACCTTAAGACAAAAGATTTCCTCATCTTCCTTCTTTCTTTGAATTTGAGGCTTGCCTGAGTTCTCAGGCTATTTTCCAATTTCTGCCTTGGTATTATGTGTGTCAGAAGGGCTTTCGGGAGTTGTGCCACCCGTATTCACTACTCAATCAGGGCATTTCTGACCTTCGAAACACCCAAGTCGTGTTATCTGTCAGGTCACTGGAGTTTGAACTCTAAGACAGGTATGAGATATGTTAATTTGTTGGTGTGTGTGTATATGTGTGTTTATAGCCAGTTTTCATGTCCCTGTGTCCTGTGTGTATATTTTTACGCAGTGGCATGTGACTTCACACTACAGATGCTTTGTAAATTATAAGTTATTTACACAATGAACCTAAGCTTTCACATTTGTGAATGTGGTAACAACTTAAGGCTGTCATCTCCTACCGATTGCAAGTTCTTGGGGTTGTAGCATGTAGAATTTTTCCCTCAACCTGTCTCTCAGCTCTAGGTTGACAGATCAGTGAAATGAAAATTCAGTGAAAAAAAAAATCAGCATTGTTTTTGGTCTACTATAAAGATGGAAGCATTGGAACGATTGTTCATTAGTCGGTAGCTAGAGAAGAGCCAGCTTGTATTGAGAACCCCAACTATGATTTTTTTTTTTTTTTCAGTAGGTATTGCTAATTAGGATGGTCAGGGGCATGTTGTCAATCAACAAAGAGAGTTGAGTTGTCAATCAAAAGAAAGATCTCTCTGGTATTTTGAGAGGGGGAAACAATCCCTGTTTGGGTTTTAAGAAGGACTGGAAGTTAGGGTTTATGTTTCTTATCAGGAGTCTCCTTAAATCTGTGCTGCCACCTCTTGGCTGTTGGAAACTGTGATTGATTGTCTCTGTCTTCTATAGCTTGGAATTGCAATTGGGTTCTTGGTCCCTCCTGTTTTGGTACCCAACATCGAAGACCAGGACAAGCTTGCCTACCACATCAGCATCATGTTTTACATAATAGGAGGCGTGGCCACTCTGCTTTTCATCCTTGTCATCATCGGTAAGGTCGTTAGTACACTGATGGGGGGACAGGAGGCAGGGAGGTTCTGCTGACTTGGGTGGGGGCCTTGTGAACATGGCCCTAGAATGCCATGGACATTTATAGAAACTGGAGGTCAGGCTTCTAATGGTCTTCAGATATCTTAGCCAATACAGTGCTAGCTGGTCCCGTGTACTTTATTAGCTGCTCAGTAAAGGTGTAACTGTAATTAACCGGTTCCCCAATAAAACCTCACCAGAATTAACGGGCAGGCTGCTGACCCTCTTGATGAAGCCCCAGTGAGTCCTTATGATATATATCACAGACACTGTGCTAAGCATGCCTGATCTCCTTGAATCTTCAACAGCCCTATGAGTGAAGGTACCCTTATCAGTCCCATTGAACAAAGAGGAAAAGGAGACTTAAGGCGAGGTAAGTAACAAATTCAAGATTAGATAGCTAGTAAGTGGCAGAGATTGGATTCAAGCCTAACCTTGTCTATGTCTAACTCTATACTTTAAATTTCTGAAACAAAACAAAATAAAACAGAATTGATTTGCAAACACTAAGAGTCTCGTAGATTCACGTAAGAATGCCTGGGGACCATGTTTTTTGAGGCTTTAAAAAAACTTATAAGAGGACTACATGCTCATTAGGGAACTATCTAGACGATACAAAAAAAGCATAAAGAAAAGAATAACCAGGGTGCCTGGCTGGCTCAATTGGTAGAACATGAGACTCTTGATCTCGGGGTTTAACTCATGACTCCTAGATCAAGAGTCATATGTTCTGGGCGGCTGGGCGGCCCAGTTGGTTAAATGTCTAACTTCTGCTCAGGTCATGGTCTCATGGTTTGTGAGTTTGAGCCCTGCATCGAGCTCGCTGCTGTCAGTGCAGAGCCACATCACATCCTCTGTCCTCCACTCTGTCTGCCCCATCCCCCACCCTCGTGTGCTCTTTCTCTCTCTCAAAACTAAATAAACGTTTTTTAAAAATTAAAAAAAAAAAAAAAAAGTCCTCTGTTCTACTGACTGAGCCAGCTAAGCACCCCCTTCAGGGTCATGAGTTCAAGCCCCACGTGGTAGGTCGACTTACTTAAAAAATAATAGTAAAATAGGGGCGCCTGGGTGACTCAGTTGGCTAAGTGTCTGACTTCAGCTCAGGTCGTGATCTCATGGTTTGTGGGTTCGAGCCCCACGTCAGGCTCTGTGCTGACAGCTCAGAGCTTGGAGCCTGCTTCGGATTCTGTGTTTCCCTCTCTCTCTGCCCCTCCCCCATGCGCTCTCGTGCACTCTCTCTCTCAAAAATAAAATAAACATTAAACCATTTGTTTTAAATGAATAAAATAATTAAAATTAAAAAAAAAACTAACTATTAACTTAACCCGTACTAGTTAATCACAACTACCAACCTCAGATAACTATTACTAGTTTTATGTGCATGTGCATTTAATCATGGCGGTATTGGTTAATACGTTTTATAATCTCTTTTATCATCTGAGTGATATTACATGTGCTGTGATGAATTCAGAAAGAGCGTAGCAGAGGCTTTCATTGTCAGTTAGTCATTAGTCTTTAAAGGTTGACCGGCTAACATTCCATCTCACGGGATGAAGGTTTCACTCTTCCCTGCCATTGTCACCGTCAGAGTGAACACAGTTTTATAATCCTGTGGCTCATTCACACGTTCTCTTTGAGGCATTCTCTCCCCGGGGTCCAAGATGAGAACGTCTGATGTCTGATGGCCTTTCAAAGCTGGTGGGGTATCTTGGGCAGACGACTTGCTGTTTCTGGGAGGGTGAGAAGCTATAGGGCTGTGGGTGAAAGCCACAGAACAGAAAGAACAGTCCGGTCCGGGCCCCTCTTACTCAACCAGACTTTGAGTTTCAAACTGCAATGTGCCCAACTTCGGATGCTTGTGTTGGTAGCAGATGAGGGCCTGGGGCTTTGCCTTTGAAGTCCTTGGAGGCAGGACATTTCTACGTTCTCACATGTTTACTATCAAGCCAGATAGTGGCCCGTTGAGTCAGGAATTGAAAAATCTGCTCTGGATTCTGGTTCGTGGCTGCTAGCTCCTTGAACAAACACTTGCTGTTGCGGAGAAGGAATAACTTCTTGCCTTGCTTTCTTTCCCCTGCTGCAAGGGGAGGTGAACAGGCAAGACAATGGATGAATGGTTTCTAATGGCAGGAAGTTATCCGGGACTATTTCTGGAGAAGGAAGAAGCAGGGCTCTGAAGTTAGGGCTGGAAAGTTTTCTGGGCGGGGTGAAGATCTCTTTGATCTTCAAGGGAGTAAGCCTCAGTTCCAGAGCTTCCTCTAACTGGAGTTAGGGGCATTCTCATGGCATGTGGGGGAGGCTACATGCAGCTTGCCTGGGTGCAACTGGGGGGGCCAATTTAGCCAAACAGCTGGTTAAACTTATCTGCCCCCAGAGAACTGAACGGCGATCAGGGCCGTCAAATCGATTGTACCAGCTGTGCTGAAAATCAAACATAAAATGAATGACTTCCCCACTGTCGCTCCCCAGTCCTTCCTGTCACGGTGACCACTCCTGCAGGGGTATGTGTATTAATCCTCTTGCCTCTTCATGAGGCACGTATCAGACTCAGACTCCGACAAACTGGGAATGGACTCGAGGTTTTTTCAGTACAAGAAGGTCTTTTCACTTATTCAGGAAGTATTTATTGGCTGCCGTGTGCCAGGCTCTGGGCTAAGCACGGGCAACACAGTCCGGTCCCCCCCAGGAGGGGCTGCGGTGCTAAGCTATTCACTGGGCTCACTAATCCCAAAGCCTCAGCTCTCACTTCCTTTCTACCCGTGTACTACTAGTCTGTTACTTTCAGCGCTCTGCTGTGTGTTATTTGCTGCTTATTTTGGGACTCCTTGATCCTCGAACACTGCCTGGGAGGCCCAGCGAGTGCACCATCCAGAGGCCATTAAGAAAAAGAAAAAGTCATCAAAGGACCACTCACTCAGCCACAGGCAGTGAGAAACAGCTTCAAGAGAGTAGGGGCTGAAGGATTTAATGGAAGATTTAATATTGCCTTTTTGCGTTTTAGCTGATTCTCAGATGAGGGAGCCAGCTCCTGTCCATGTGTTGTCTCTGCAGGGGTGGGGCTACAAGGATTTGCAGTGATCTCTCTGTTTCTTTCCTTTCAGTATTCAAGGAGAAGCCTAAACATCCCCCCAGCAGGGCCCAATCCCTGAGCTACGCCTTGGCGTCCCCTGATGCTTCGTACTTAAGTTCCATTGTCCGGCTCTTCAGAAACCTCAACTTTGTGCTGCTTGTCATTACCTACGGTAAGGTGCACATGTGTCCAGGAACGTCCTTAAACTGAGAACGTATGGCCAGAGGCCCGATGTGTCTGTGTGTCTTACTCTTTCCAAATCCCAAATGTGTGTGTAAAGTCATTGCTTTGGCTCAACCAAGGGAGTCAGCTGTGCCTCAGGGCCTTTGCCTGTTCTGTAAAGTTCTTCTAGAAGACCATTCCTTCCCACGTCAGGTTGTCTGGCAAAAATGCCTGCTGATTCTCCAAGTCTCACCTGAGTATCACTGCTATAAAGCAGTATTAGGTGACCTTTACCTCTTTTATTGTGCTGTTCCTGGTACATCTTAACACTCAACATTAAAAAAAACAAAACAAAACACTTCCAGGGGGCCTGGATGGCTCTGTCAGTTGGGAGTCTGACTCTTGATTTGGCTCAGGTCATGATCCCAGGGTCATGGGATCAAGCACTGCATTGGGCTCTGTGCTGAGTATGAAGCCTGCTTAAGATATTCTCTCTCTCTCTCTCTCTCTCCCTCCCCCCCTCCCCCTTTGCCTCTCCCCCACTTCTGTCTCTCTGTCTCTCAAATAATAAAAAAATATTAAAAAGAACATTTCCAGGTCTGTCTTCCCACTAGACTGTGAACACCCTAGGAGTGGAGATTTATGGCTTTTCATCTTTATAGTTCTTTAGCAGTGGCCATCCTGGTGGGGATACTCTAACAATTGTTGAGTGAGTGAATGAATGAATGAAGAATGAATCAGTGCATACATGAATGTTGCCACAGGAACTACTCCTCAACCAACCCTCCTTCATCTTGTAACACTGACTCCTTTTTTACCTGAATGCGAGACAATGTCCCTGTTTCATTTTACTTTCTTGGCTTTTGGTAAGATACATTTGCACATTTATGCTGGTGTATTGGCTTTCCTTTTTTTTTTTTTTTTTTCCTTCAAGTTTATTTATTTATTTGGAGAGACTGAGAGGCAGAAAGAGAGGGAGAGAGAGAGAGAATCCCAAGCAGGCTCCGTTCTGTCGGCCCAGAGCCTGACGCAGGGTTCAATCTCACAAATGGCGAGATCATGACCTGAGCCAAAATCAAGAGTCAGATGCTTAACCGACTGAGCCACCCAGGTGCCCCAGCTTGCCTTTCCAACATGGTGTTTTCTGTGGCTCCTTTCCAACCTTTACTAAGAATGGAGGACCAGACAGGGGCAAGGGCGGAGCTTCGTGGCATTCCATTAAAGAGAGTCTTTACAGACCCATTCAGCTATACGGCTGTCCAGCCTCCATTTGGCCATTTAATCTAGTAGTTCGTTTGATTAAAATCAAGAGTCAACAAGTGTTTAACATGCTTAGTAACCATAAGAAAAAAAGAAATGAGATTGGTTTGACATAACTTATGTTCGGTGCAATCCCAGTTGGCGATAACCTTACATTTTCTGATGGGTCGCAAACCTTGAATTTTAAAGCAACAACAGCATTTACTATGTGCCAAGACCTTTCATGTATGATTTTATTGGACTCCCGTCACATCCCCATTTAACAGATGAGAAAGCTGAAACTCAAGACAGATTAGGTAAGTAGCTCAAGAACACACAGCTTCGGATTGTCAGAGTCAGGATGCAAAGACAGGTTTATCTAACTGCAAAGTCTACGTGCTTGATGCCTATACCCATTTCTAGAATTGTGTCAGAGTTTCCTGTTAGGCTTATCATGCACTTTATCTAAATTAAAGTGTTAATCTGCTGAGACACTAGGTAAGAGGTAGTATCATCCCCAGTAGAGGCACACACCTGTTTTTCAGTCATTCACAAAAAAATAAGCGACCTCTCACCTAGAAAAGTGCTAGATGGGTCTTCAAGGTCTCAGGTCTCCATTTCTCATTCTCTCCGGCTTTTCAGTTCTGAATACGTCTCTGCATTCAACCACAATATAAAGACAAAATTTCCAATATTTAAGATGCCCAACTAAAGAAGTTATATGAGTTGCCCATCACTGGAAAGTATTCAAGTGTAGATGGGACCAGTCACTTAGTGGGGATATTGTAGAGAGTATCAGGCTGTATAGATGGACAATAAAACCCGATGACCTTTGGGATCCCTTTCTTACTGAGGATTCCACGGTTCCAAGAACTTTCGCTTTTCCTTGAGTTAAACATCTCAAGTGTGTTGACCTTTGATGACCATAAACCTTATTGCATCTGATAACAGGGTTTTTGGGGCCTCCCTTGGGATTCTGAGGCAGATGAGTGCTTCATAAATATTTCCTATGGAAGAGAATGATGATGGTGGTGATAACTGGGCAATGATCTCATTCTAGAGGCAGGGGAGCAAAGCAACTCCTCCTCTTTCCCTCTTGCATGGCTGTTTGCTTATATGGTCTTTAATTTGGCAGAGTGGTTTTAAACTTCTGGACACTCATCTATTGGGTTAAATGATCACACAGGAAATAGATAGGGAGGCACTTCTGGAATGGTGGAGTGAGGACCTTGGATAATCTGTTCTATCATGAAGCAAAGGGTACAACCGGCAAACATTGTCAAAATCAAATTTTCAGAACTCTGAAACAAAGGCTTGCAACAGCCCAAGGGACATTTATTTAAGAAAAAATGGCTGAATAATGGTAAGAACAGTGAGCTTTGTGTTTTAAGTTGCCCTATTCCAATCCGCCTCTCCCAGTCTCTGTGGTAGCCTTGACAACCAGCAGCCTCGCAGCCGTGGTAGTTGTGAGAACTTAGAACCAGCAGCCTCACAACCACCGGATGGGGCAAAAACAATTTTGGAGCTCTCCCAAAAGCCCCATCCCTAGGTGATTATTTGATATCTGACAGTTCCTTAGAAGAACCCCATTCAGAGGACTTGCCTTTATTTAACCTGACTCAGAGCTTGCTGTGTGGGAAAAGCGCTATTTCCAGGGCATTTGTTGAAAACAATCCCTGTTTAACATCATAGCTGCCTAAGGGAATAATACCAGTTGGGGGTAAACAGGAGGCTGGCCAAAAATCTTGCAAGGAAAATCTAGAGACTGAGACGTCCAGAGGGGCTTTGGAAACCTCTGACATATTGTTAGGAATCTAGAAGTCCACATGCACCTGCCCAGGGAAGATCTGAGAAAGCCCTAAACTCTCACCTCTGGCCCACCTTGAGGCTCTACGCGAGGAGGAAGTGAAGGCTAAGGCAGAGTGTCACGTGCCTGCTGGAGCCTGGAAGGAGAGGCCCAGCCCCCACACAGAGGATGTCCTGGGCAAAGGTGGAGACTAATTAGTTTAAGGCATTTAAAGAAATCTCTGTCTAAACATTAGCTCACCACTAAATTGATGGAGCAGAAACTTCAGTGGCTGCACGTGACAAAGGATACAAACTTTACAAAATTAGTCCAGGAAAATCACTAAACAAACAGCAGCAACAGATCCTGGCGAGGGAGGAGAATCTCATTTCCAGAGTTGATATGGTATTTAAAAAGTCCAGCTTCACCTAAAGATTGTGAGACATACGCGTATGGCCCATACACAAAGGGGAAAAGGAAAAAAAACAGTTAAAAGAAACTGTTCCTGAGGAAGCCCAGATGTTGAACATAATAAAGATTGTAAATCAACAATATAAATACACTCAAAGAACTAAAGGAAACCATGCCTAAAGAATGAAAGAAAAGTAGAGAATAGTGTCTTACTAAGTAAAAATATAAATAAAGACAGGGGCAAAAAGGAACCACATAGAAATTCTGGAATTGAGAATACACTAACTAAAATGAAATATTCACTGGAGAGCTCAAAATCAGATTTGAGCTGGCAGCAGAAAAAAAAAAAAATCAGTGAACTTGAAGATAGATCAAATGAAATTATCCTGTTTGAGGAACAGAAGGAAGGAAGAATAAGGAAAAATGAGCAGAGACCCTGAGACCTGTGGGAAACCATCAAGCAAACCAACATATGCATATTGGGAGTCCCAGGAGGCTAGGAGAGAAAGGGCGGGAGTAAATTGTCATTGAAATTGAGATCATGCTAGCCCAAAAACCCCAATTCATTTCTGAGTCTTTGGGAGCATTTGATTCCATGGTGTATCCATAGAATTTATTAACTTTTTGAATCAAAGGCCTAGGGTTATTCCAGTGAGAGGGAGTGAAACTAATCTGGATGTTTGCATATATGCCCATTTCATTATAGTCAGAAAACCGCAAGCCTTTTTTCCATGTAGATAATTGGACTTGGCAGCAAGGCTCTTGGCCAACAAGGAAATGATTCTTAGGCTTAATCACAGATTTGGAAAAAATTTTATTGAACTATTATTGTGTGTCAAGGCACCATGTTAAGTGCTTTACATGGATTATCACATTTTATCTTCAAAACAAACCCATGACATAGGTTCTTAAGTCCATTGCATTTTTATACATGAGGAAACTGAGGCTCTATTTAGTTCTTTGCCCACAAATGGACAGCTAGCAAGCAACAGAGCTTGGGGTTCTTGGGGTTTTGTGGGTTTTTTTTTTAATGTTTATTTGAGAGAGAGAGAGAGAGAGAGAGAGAGAGAGCTCATGAGCAGGGGAGGGTCAGAGAGAGAGGGGGACAGAGAATCTGCAGTAGGCTGTGTTGACAGCAGGAAACCCAATTTAGGACTCAAACTCATGAAGCGTGAGATCAGGACCTGAGCCAAAGTTGGATGCTCAACCGACTGAGCCACGAGGCGCCCTGCAACAGAGCTGGGATTTAAATTTCTGTCTGTCTGACACCAAAGCCCATTTTTGTAACCACCATGCCATTTTGCCTCCCCATGCAGAAAGGAGCATCTTAAAAACAGAGCCAGAGTTCTTTTAGTCCCACTTGCCTGAGTGGTCTTTGGGTCTAACTAGGGGAGTATGTCCTTCCTCAGATTCAATTCTCCAGACCAGTTGCCAGGGGGTTGTCTTCTTCTAAGTTGCAGATCTAGAGTTCTGGGGTTTTTGAAGCAGGACCAACTTACATTGACCAGCCATCTTTGGGATTTGGAAGTGACGGGGTGTTGGCCTTAGTGTATCTGTCTGAGGTTTATAGGTCA